CTCTCTCTCTCTCTCTCTCTCTCTCTCTCTCTCTCTATCTATCTATCTATCTATCTATCTATCTATCTATCTCTATCTCTCCCTCTCTCTCTCTCTCTCAATGCGGCCATTACACTTCAGAGGTGTATGGACCGACGCACGACATTGCTGACGCAGTTGTTGTTCGTATTCCTATTTGATGTATGTGGGGGAAAAAAGGGTCATGGCTCCAAGGCCAAAATACGAAGATCTGTGCAGGTCTTTGAAAGTCGTGGGAAAGAAGGACAAGGGGAGGAAGAACTGCAAGGCTGATAAGAAAAAAAAAACGAGAGAGCATCACAGAAGCGGATCCCAGAATGCAAAAACGGAGCGGAGCAGCAGCCTAAAAAACGGATCAAAAGTTTATCTCCCATCAAGCCAGAGGGAGATTTCAAAGCTGAAAGAACGCAATGAGTCACCCCTTGCGACTGCTGCCCCACGGAACCGTGCCAGCGGCGTCGAGAACCGCCCACCCAAGGCCCCCGAGAAGAGGTCGCGGGAAGACGAAATGTCAAAGGTGCACCGCAATACAAAGAAGAGAATCATATAAAAAAAGGACAGATTGGTGGAGATGATCGATCTGAGAGGCTTGGACGATATGCACAGTGCGGCCCGAGAGGAAGCAGAAGAGGAACACGACCAGTCCATATCAAAAAAGTTTGACGGGGAGGAGAACGAGGCAACAAGTGACGAGGGAGGTGACAGTGAAACTTCCGACGGACATTCTCCCGACACTCACGACGCTGATGACGAGGACGGCAGGAGCAGCGACGACACAGCGCAGGACGAGGGCGGTGACGGGGTAGGCGAAGACGACAGAAGCGCGGACGGAAGAGAGATTTCCCCATCTCTGGGAAGAACGCGACGCACGAGGGAACCCGAAAGTGGCGGCGAGGGAGGCGCAGCCGACGTGCCCTCGATTGACAGACAACTAGTGAGGCACAACAACACAGTTCAAAAAGGTAAACAAAATGAGTTGCAGTTGCTCCTCTTGCACAACGATTACGTAGTAACGGCGGAAAGTGATAGCATTTTCTTAATGCGCGGATGTCGCTGTGATGAACGAACAGTTGAAACGGGCTGTCGAATTTCGCAAGTGCGAAAATGAGTGCGAAATGCCGAGTTCTTAATATTATTCTATGCGTTGTAATGTGTGTCTTCCAGCAGATGGCACGAACTCGCAAAGAAAAGTGTGCGCGAGCAGGGGAGGACAACAACAAGCCAATCAAGAAAGTGGAGTATTCTCGAAAAAAATGAAGGAAAGACAGTTCCGGTCGGTTGCAAAAGCCTTTGCGTTCTCAGCAGCAAAGGACGCAACTCTGTACCCAACAGAGGATGAATTTTTCACGGCGCTGCAAACAACGGTCAAACTGATAGGGGAGAATGCGGAGGAAGGACTGCGATCACATGTAGCGGAGTGCGGGATTCGAGCAGTCATAGGGAAGTGCAACAGAATGATGACAATCGTGCGTGGAGAGATAACATGGCAACTAAAACATTGGTTCTAGGCTGAAAAAGGGATCCCGCTTGTACAATTGCAGCAAACAGATCACCAGCTCCCTACTCGCAACAAGATGCGAGGAGAGATGAAGGAGAACAAAACGTGGAGACGGAGCGACGACGATCCTTGGGGCGCCCCAGCCTTCAAGACGACACTCACCAAGGTTTTCCAGATGAGGAGGGACGGCGTAAACCTTGGCGTGACCCTGCAGCAACTGGCTTTTGCAGCGATGGTTCTGCAATGTGAAATCCAGCAGGTAACAAAGACCAGCAGAGCAGCGGAGAAGATAGGAAAATTGGTCTCTATAAAGCACGACATCGCATCATCTGTCTGCAGTCGCGATACAGTCATGAGTTTTTCGATCTTCAAGCTGGACCGTGCCGTATTTGTTGCTGAGAAGGTTGCTGCGCTATTTCGAGCTGGCTTGCCCTCTGTCCACAAGAGTGGGCCACAGAACACAATAGTAACGGATGACGATTTCGACCTGGAGTTCATTGCACTGCTGCATGAGAGAAGCAGAGACGGGGAGAGGGATGCAGAAAGTCTGTGCGCCAGACCTTGAACAGCGGGGGGGGGGGGGGGGGGGGGGGGGGGGGGGGGGGGGGAGGTGGTGAACACAATAGTGTGAATCTGAAGTTTCATTGCGGAATCTGTGAATCAGAAGGTTCATTACACAAGGTCACAGTCATTGCATGCTAAAAAGAGAGAGAGAGAGAGAGAGAGAGAGAGAGAGAGAGAGAGAGAGAGAGAGAGAGAGAGAGATATGAAGACTCTGAACCATGGCACTTGAACAGTCACTTTACAACATATGGTCTGTTATTTATAATACACAATTGTACAATCCCTTGTAATCATGTTCATCTTTGTGTGATTGGTCATAGAGCGACTATGTTATGAAAAAAACACCATCCGTGGTTGTCCTCAATGCAAGGTTGGCTAGTGCGTGTCACTCTCTCTCTCATGCCACCATGTTGCTAAATTTGTGTTACGCAGTAGTGAACCGTGCTTGTAGCAGGGCAACTCAGCATTTAACTGAGTCTCCCTCACGCGTCTATCCATAGAATGAAGCACAGCAATCCTACGGACTCGAAAAGGAAGGTTGGCTACTGCGTGTCACTCTCTCTCGAGGACGACCATGTTGGTAAATTTGTGGCCCGCAGTAGTGAACCGAGCTTGTAGCAGGGCATCTCAGCATTTAATTGAGGCTCCCATATGCGTCCGTCCATAGAATGAAGTACAACAATCCTACAGACTCGAAAAGGAAGGTTGGCTACTGCGTGCCACTCTCTCTCGCGGACTGCCATGTTGG